CCCCATAAAAATTTGATATACACTCCACTATATATAAAATAGATAAACCATAAGGGCCTACTGCATAGCACAGGGAACTATACTCAGTATCTTGTAATAACCTATAATGGGAAAGAATCCGAAAAAGAGTATATAAAAATATATATAGTAATTCAGATATATATATATATATATATCTGTACACCTGTACTAACACAATATTATAAATCAACTATAGTTAAATAAAAAAGTTTGATATAGACAACATTGCACTCTGTTGATAAATTCACTTAGGAAGAATGGGCATCTTTATGATGGTGAGTCACCCAGTCCAAGAACAAAGGATGTCTTTCCATTTGTTCACATATAATTTTGTGTCTGTTGAGATTTTTTTTTTTTTTGCGGTATGCGGGCCTCTCACCGTTGTGGCCTCTCCCGTTGCGGAGCACAGGCTCCGGACGCGCAGGCTCAGCTGCCGTGGCTCAAGGGCCCAGCCGCTCCGCGGCGCGTGGGATCTTCCCGGACCGGGGCACGAACCCGTGTCCCCTGCATCGGCAGGCGGACTCTCAACCACTGCGCCACCAGGAAAGCCCTGTTGAGATGTTTTGACGTTTTCTTTGCATCGATTTTGCACATTTCTTGTTGAGTTTACAAGTCCTGGCTCTTCTTTTTAAATGGGGTTGTAACCACCATGATGTCCTCTAATATGGTCATTTTTCTCATATGTAAAGGTTATTGAATATATATATTTAATTTTATATCCTTGCTGCTTACTGAAATCTTTTATTTGAGTTATTTTATCATTGATTCTCTGGGGTTTTCTGAGTAAACCATGGTATCATCTGCAAATAGCGATCGTTTTACTTTCTCAATTCTTATACCTCCCTTTGATTTCTCTCTTCTAGTTGCAACAGTTAACACCCCCAGATACTACAGGACAGGAGTCAGCAAACTTTTTCTTTAAATGGCCAGATGGTGAAATATTTCAGGCTTTGTGGGCCATATCAGCAGTCCCCAACTTTTTTGGCACCAGCGACTGGTTTCATGAAAGACAGTTTTTCCACGGATGGGGTTGGGGGGATGATTCAGGCGGTGATGCTAGTGACGGACAGCCATGGGGAGTGGCAGGTGAAGCTTCCCTCACTTGCCCGCTGCGCTCACCTCCTGCTGTGCGGCCTGGGCACTGGGGACCCCTGGGCCACATTGTCTCTGTCATAACTACTCAGCCTTGCTGTTGTAGTGCAAAAGTGGCTCGAAACAATACGTAAATGAACAGGTGTGGCCGTGTTCTAGTAAAATTTCATTTACAAAACCAGTGGCAGGCTATATGTCGGGGGGTGTAGTTTACACACCCCAGTATGGGATGTCATAGGCATCGTTGCCTTGCTTCCTGATCATACTGGAAACACCTAGAATTTTCCCCCATTAAGTTGCTACCTTAGGAATAACATGGACACACACACACACACGTACAACAGGCACACACACGTTACCATGTTAAGATGTATCCACAATTCCTATTTTCTTGTGTGTTTTTATCAGGAACGAGTGTTGAATTTTGTTGAGAGCTTTTTGTCATCTATAAAGATAATCATAGGGACTTCCCTGGTGGCGCAGTGGTTGAGAGTCTGCCTGCCAGTGCAGGGGACACGGGTTCAAGCCCCGGTCCGGGAAGATCCCACATGCCTCGGAACAGCTAAGCCCATGCGCCACAACTACTGAGCCTGCGCTGTAGAGCCCGCAAGCCACAGCTACTGAGCCCGTGTGCTGCAACTACTGAAACCTGCACGCCTAGAGCCCGTGCTCTGCAACAAGAGAAACCACCGCTATGAGAAGCCCGCGCACCTCAGTGAAAAGTTGCCCCCACTCACCACAACTAGAGAAAGCCCACGTGCAGCGACAAAGACCCAACGCAGCCCAAAAAAAAAAGATAATCATAGATTTTTCTCCTTAGATCTGTAAATGTGGTGTATTATATTAATGAATGTCTTAATATTTATTTCCTGATATCCAACTTTGCATTCCTGGAATAAATTCATTTGGTCATGATGTATTCTTTTCTTAATGTGAAACTGAAGTCTGTTTACTAATATTTTATTTAGCATATTTGTACCAATAGAGTAAGCAATTTTATTTTTATTGTATTTTCCTTATCAGAATCAAGTGTCAGTGTTACCTGTGTCAGAGTGTCAGAATTAGAAAATTTCCTTCACTTTCTATTTCCGAGACAATTTATGGGGCATTGGTGTTACCTGATTTTTAAAGATTTGGTAGAATTCCTTTTTAAAACCATCTGGGCCTGGTGCATTGTCCCGGGTTAGTTCCTTGATAACGTCATTTCTTCCACAGAAATTGATCTTCTAAGGTTTCTATCTCTAAAGGGTCAATTCTGGTAAATTAATTTCTTGAGTATCATTTTTATAATTTCCTCACTATCTTTTTAATGTCTGCAGGATCTGTAATGACGTATTCTTTAAAATTCCTGGTGTCCGTAATTTGTATTTTTCTTGATCCATCTTGCTAAGAGTTTATCAGTTTTATTAATCTTTTTAAAGAAGCAATTTTTCACTTTGTTGACACCCTTTATCATTTAACTGTTTCAACAATTTTCATTGTTTTTTTCTCTTATTCAAGATTTTTCTTTCCCTCTCCTTACACTGTGTTTAGTTGTCTCTGCTTTTCTCTAGTTTCTTGCAGAGGGATTACCCACGCTGTTCTTTTGAAACAGTCACATCGGAAGCTTACTGGGAGTTCATGTTGCCTTTTCTGCTTAGATATAACTTGAAGTTCGTCACCCCTCTGTGTTCTCGTCATGACGGGGGTGCGGATTTGTGTAGTTTTACCTATTCTTGTTGTTCTCCGTCATTTTTTAGAAGTGTGGGGATTTGAATTTAGGTGGCTGCCTAGAAATCTTCGATATCAGTAATTTGAAAGCTCTTGGATATTGACATGTTTAAACCCTAATAGAAAAATCAGCACACGACATGCACGGGAAGTTTACCAAAGAAGAAATACAAGTTATCAATGAACGTGGGAAATTTTTTCAATCTCATTAATACACAAAGAAATGAAAATTCTAATGACGGTAAGATAATCTATCACTTATAAAATTGGCAAAGATTAGAAAAAAAAAAAGAAAAAGGCATCCAGCATGGTCAAGAATTAAGGGAAATGGGTATTATAATACACTGCTGATAGCTACAAACTTCATAGAAGTTAAAGTCTCTGTATGTCTGGGGACTTCCCTGGCGGTCCAGTGGTTAGGACTCCTCGCTTCCTCTGCAGGGGGAGCAGGTTTGATCCCTGGTCAGGGAACTAAGATCCTGCATGCCATGCGACCAAAAAATTAAAAAAAAAAAAAAAATTGAGTCTCTGAATGTCTGTATGTTAAAGATTCAAATTGAAATATTTTGAACACCATTGCCTGAACCTCCCTTACCTCCAGCTTCTGTATTGGCCCAGTAGAATCAGACTGTTCCTACCTCATGGAGGTGATGCAACACTGAATGAGCTAGTCCACATATGGTGCCTCATACCAGGATCTACACAGAGTGTGCTGCCATTTTCTGTATCAAAGTGATGATGATGATGCCAGATGATAGATAGATATGGATAGGTAGGTAGAATGCGCGTTGATCACGCGCTCTAGTGGTCGTGGTCCCTCGTGCATCCTCACTAGTGATGGTTCTGGGAAGCCTGTGCAGGAGGGGCTGGAGGGCCTGCTTTTCGAACAAAGAGAGACTTTAAGTCGAGCCCAACACAGCACATGCCACAATAATTACAGATATAACTGAAATTTAATAATCATAAAAATATTGTGAATAACATACATGAGTAAATTTAAAATCAAGATGCAATGAGTGCATTACCAAAAAATATTTTTAAATGCCATAATTGATATAAGAAAAATATCCTGAATACACTAACAACCATTACATAAACTGACATGGGGCTTCCCTGGTGGCGCAGTGGTTGAGAGTCCGCCTGCCGATGCAGGGGACGCGGGTTCGTGCCCCGGTCCAGGAAGATCCCACATGCCGTGGAGCGGCTGGGCCCATGAGCCATGGCCGCTGGGCCTGCGCGTCCGGAGCCTGTGCTCCGCAACGGGAGAGGCCACAACAGTGGGAGGCCCGCGTACCACAAAAATATATATAATAAATAAATAAATAAATAAATAAATAAATAAAACTGACATGGTACTAAAATCCACCCCCTTTCACTCACCATCTCTCCCAAAATGCACCCAAACTGGAGGGTCTTAGAGGTGAGGTGAACCAGACTTTCAAGGAATACATCATTCTCTTCATAAATAAGTGGGTCCAGAGAATGAAAAAAGAGGGAAGATTAGGTATACTTGACACCAAAATAAAGAGAGAAGCTTCTAGGCTGGATTTCCTTAAATATAACTGAACATTTCGTAAGTGAAATGAATCAATTCCAAGAGCATATTAAAAATTATGATCAGATAAGGTTTACCCTACGTAGGCAAGAATGATTTCACCATCAGAAAATCTGTCACTGTAACTCACCACATTAATAGATTAAAGAAAATCTATGTGATGATTTCAGTAGATATAGAAATGGCACTTGATGGAGCTCAACATTTTTCCATGATAAAAATTCTTAGAAAAATCAGAACATGGTATAGAGGAGGGTGCATGAATGGGGAAATCCACAAGGTGGCATAAAGGTTCCTGTTCCGTTTCAGGTACTGACGTGTCATCTCATAGGGATGGTGTATATTTTATAAAACATAAATTTGATAATCATTAGAGAAAGAAGAACCCTAGTCTTGAGCCTTATAAACCGTGACCAAGTTCCCGTGTCACCTGCTAGCTTGGGACCTTTTGCAAAATGGTCATAAGTAAATTAAAAGCGGGCCTTTCTGGAGGTTATGAATTCAGACCGCAAAACGGGGGAGAAATGGTTGAAAAGCCGAACAGAATCGATGCTTGACTTTTTCATTTTGAATGATTTCACAAAGGTATCTTGGAGCCAACTCGATTTTTTGTTTTTTCTAGTCCCTCCACGGCTTTGCTCTGGTGGTAAGCGCGGAAGGGATGATATTCTACGCGTCAGCAACGATTGTGGACTATCTGGGCTTCCACCAGGTAAACACAGCTGCTCTATCTGCTGCGGTTCGGTTCTGTTACCTTGAAAGCACGCGTCGTCTTCAAGGTTTAAAATGTCTCTAAAATCAAGCTTCTTTTTCTTTTTTTTTTTTTTTAAATCATGGAGCTTTTGTCAGATGAGGATTTGCACACCTAGCTTTGTCTAGGGCCCAGGGTCACGGCGAGAGGCATGACAGTGTCCTGGGCGTCCCTCGTCTAAAGGGCAGCGACTTGTGCTGACTGAGGCCTGGCCTCCCGGGCTCCTCGCCGTGAGAGGCCGGTCAGGGCCAGGGCAGTGGACCTGTCCTCATCTGTGTGTTGGTGTCTCAAAGCCCAGACACGACGTACACTCAGGACGTAGTGTGTTCTGGAAACGCTCTTGGTGTACAGATAATTCATCTGGGACGTTGCCCCAGGCCAGCCTAGCTCGGATGCTTCCAGACCTTGGGAGTCCCATCCGACACTGGGTCCTAGAAGGGTGGCTCAGTGAAAAGTCCCAGGAAAGGAAGAAGTACCTGGCTTGGCCTCCGGGAAGGAAAAGAGTCTCTCGTGAGAAACCCCAGCCCTAAGTCACCAGCCTGATGGTGCAGCCTCCCGGCTCTGGAGCTTCGACGGCTGAGGTCTGAGGACAAGCCGGGCACCACAGTGGCCGCAGCTGCTCTGCCAGGGGCCACCCCCCAGACGCAGCCCTCTGCGGGGAGCTCGCGGTGCAGAGTTATCAACTCGAGGAAGCCGCGGGCCAGCGGCACCGGCACCCTCCCTGAGGAATTCAGGGCAAAAACGGGTGGATTTGCGAGAGAACAGAGCGGAACCTGGAGGAACGGAGAACAGTGTGTCTGTCCTCAGGGCCACATCCGGAGGCAGAACCTGTGCAGTGACTCGCACGGCTTGATACACAGAATTTACAAACTTACACTGATGTCAGTTTGGTGTAAAGAGTCATCGCCTAGTGACACAGGATGAGCGGGAAAGGGGTGCAGACACAGTGGGTGCAGGGGGAGCAGCGGCCGCAGGGCTGAGCCCTGGCGCCCAGGCGGAGCACGTTTCGGAGACCACAACCCCCGCCCCACCCCCAGCCCCACCCCCAGTTGGCTGGGGCGCGGCGGCGGCCCCTGGGGGCTGGAGAGTCCCCCGAGGCGCCCACCCGCTGGAACGCTGGCGACACTGGGGCAGGGGTGCTCGCCTGGAGGTCGTGGACAGCCGCGCGGGGCCGGGGTACCTCTGCCGGCAGAGGGGAAATATCTGCAGAGCCGGGATCAGAGCCAAGCGCGGGAGCGGGGAGAGGCCAGACTGGCGTTAACAACGAAAATCTCCCTGGATGGGCCGAACACCAAGGGGGTCCCCGAATCTGAGGGCAGCGGAAGCCAAGGTGTGAGAGCCCGGTCCCCGACAGGCTGAGAACTGAGGTCCGCCGGAGCCCCTGAGGCCGATGGGGCCCGTGATCTAATTTCCATGAAAATCCTCATTTGAATCGTTTTCAGTTTCTCCCACGCTCGTTTCCAGGTTGACTTTCCCGCCACCCGGACCCGCACAGAGTGACCGCCAGGCCCTGTGCTGGCCCCGGGACCGTCTGGGCGGCCTCGCGGGCAGCGATCGCGCAGTCACGGCCTGTGGCCCAGCAGCGGGCGGAGGCGCGGCCCCCGCGGGGGCGTGGCCTCGGGGAGCCGGCTCCGCCCCTTCGAGTCGGGGTCGCCCGACTTCCTCCCTCGCGCGGTGGGGCTGCGAGGCCGCGGCCGGGGGCCCCAGGGGGCTGGGGGCGCTCCTGACGCGGGAGCTGGGCCACCCGGTCCGCCTCTGCAGTCGCTGTGCGGAGGCCGCGCTCGCACGAGGTCGGGGGCCGTGGCCGGGGTGCAGGGTCTCCTGGAGCAGCTGGTGACTCCGCGAGGTCGTGGGCACGAGGGATTCCCCGCCCCAAATAGCGAAGCCTTCCACGTGCTCCCCTGGAGGTCGTGTGCAGGATCTGGATCTAGAAAAACGTGGTTTGGTCTGCCTTTTGCGTGCTCAGAATTTCTTTCCGTTCCCATCACTGTCGCCTGAGTTGCTCTGTGAATTCTCCAGACACCCAGAGCCACCTGCCTTTGGCTGTAATTCGAAGGTCTTACCACCCGGAAGGACCTTCGTGGGGAAAGCCCTGCAGAGGAGACCTGCCTCCAGGTCTGAACTTGCTAATTGGCTCTTTTGGTTTCTTGGAACTTGGTTATTTCCGCTGAAGCGTTAGAAGTGAAAACAAAAAAGAGTTTTGCCTTTTATTATAAAGAAATTGTTTCCAAATGCCATTAAATCAGGCTGTGCCTCTATGCAAAATATTTCATGAACATGTTAGAATAGCTTTGTGCTCTATTGTAAGCTTCTTGTGCAAAACGCCTTACAAAAAGTCAGGAACCAGGTATTTCCTGTCAACCTGAGC